GTATCTGCTAGCTACCTTTCCAATGGCACGTTGTCAGTTCCAGCGCGGATGCATGCCTGCTGCCAAAACGACAAACATGCAGTGTAAACAGTCTCACAGAAACCTGATCTGATACTGCACATACAACTGACAGCAACCAACAGCAGTGCCAAGACCTGGATTACTCTTTGTATCAGTTTTGGAAGAGTCCTACAAGTTTTATCAAGACAGGTAAGTTTAACAAGTACCATATAAACTAAACCATTTCACACCAAAAACTGTACGTAAAAATGGGAAGGCTCTATTGCTCATCTTTTCCTCCAGAAATGCCCCAGGACACAACAGTGCCCCAACTGCATGCACTCACTGTGATTATCTGCTGCATGCTCAGCTGGTTCACAGCACACTACAATTACTAAATTACAACCTTTGTGATATTTTTCAATGCCAGTAGCTGTAGCAGTTGCCACAGATATTTTGATTATAACCTATGAAATCAGGATCTCCTAAGCCACATTCCACAACAAGAATTCACTGTTTCACAATCCTGTATCTTAAGCATATACATGATTTTTTTGTCCAAAGTCATTAGTAACTATGTTGTACACGAACACTAAGAGATGACAAATAAGGAAGGGTATATGCCACTGGCCCAGATAGCTTTAATCGTAAACAAGCTCCAAAAGCACAGTATATGTATTTGACGAAACAAACCTCAGACTCACAAAAGTCTCAGGCGCTTCGTCAGCTAAGCAGCAGCAATAAAAGAGTACTGCATGAGTATATTATACTGCCATACATTCACATTATAGCACTAGCACAACTTCAAATGACTTTCATGCATGATCAAAGGATTACCCAATTTGTATTTCACCTGTGCCTTTATTTGTGCTTAATTATTTTCTATGCAACCTTTTCAGTACAACCATTAGTTTCATGAAACGTTCATTAATATCTTTACTGTCAACTGAGGCACCCCGGCATGACCAAAACCGAGCAGTTGCACAGAGCTTGCTAGCTTGGGCACAGTTCAGCACTAGTAGGGCTGTGTGGGTTTTGGCTCACACCGAGCCCTTATCAAGCCAGGCTGTAGTGCAGGCAGAATGAGCTCAAGTCTCTTTGTGTCTTTTTTCAAATGCCAGCACACCCCTAGACATAGAAACCCTACTTTCCTCATATAGACCTGTCTGATGGATTATTTGCTTCCCCCAGGCATACATGACCAATTGGTTACCCACGTGTGCAGTTGCTGATGACTATTATTTGGTATTTTGGATTAATTTGTCATCCTCTAAGGCCCACCTTACAATCTAAATTGAGATGCTGTATCAACATGAATCTCCAGTGTGGGCATTTTTTATCACTCAAACCCCCAAAAGCATAAAAAGATTAATGTACCTGCCTGTTAAACTACATCTCTACTTACAAGTTCATTTCAGAAAAGGTGTTTTAGTAATTGTATCAGACTGGGTCATTTAGGAATGCCTGCACTTGGAAATCTACCAAAATAACTTCCAGAGTAACTACCTGGTTTGGAAGTATACAGCAGAATCCAGTTAGTTGGTTTTGGGTTTTTCCAGAGCAGAATAATTATGGAGGCCTGGATAAACCTGGAGTGACACGCTAGCAGTAAACAAGGTCAAAACTTGTTTATATTAAAACACTTTTACAGAAGGTCATCCTTATGAAAAGAAATGAGATTGTGCAAGAATCTCGGGGCATGCACTTTGTAAAAAAGAAAGTGAATGAACAGTATTCAAGAAGAGTGTACAAACAGAAAATGAACATGCAAAAAAAAAAAGAAAAAGCAGCAGAGAATCTGAGCACTCATAATTCATGACATAGCCCATGACACAGTAACCTCTTACATAGTTGCGGCAGCTACAAAGACAGCTGCAAGATCAACAGAAAGTAAATCATATGTGGCAGAACATGGTATGGAGTCACACATAGGACTCGGCTATAAAAAACAACTGAGAATCACTGCTTTAAGCGTCACTTTCTGTTTTGTTTCACAGGTTTTTAGTACCAGTCAGTTAGCCTAAACAGCCAAACTGTCTTTTATATTGGTTTAATTAACTAACTTAAGCTACCTGAGAGTTTTAAAACAGACATCATTAATTTCTATCTTTGGAAAGGAATTGATACTTTACAGCCCCACTATGCACACAACTATCCCATACAACCCACACTGTTATTCGGTAATTAAAAAAGTCTAAATTGTATGTCAACATATGTTGCCAGCAACTGCGTTTGAAAAGACTCTTCAGCCCGCAAGAAATAAAAAGTTTCTCTCCCTCTGCTCACCAGAATTTTTGCAGAGACAAATTTAGAAGCTAGTTTAGTCTAAACTGATACAACCAATACAAAAAAAGACAGAAAAACCATATTGTAGATAGGTTTTTGCCAAAAATTAAGTAAAAAAAAAAAAAAAACACTCTCCAAATAAATTAGAATTAAAGTAAGTACAAATTCCCTTTTTTCTTTTTAAATACAAGAAACACATGTACATCAGACAACAGAATCAGACTGCCACGAGAGGGTTATTCACACATTTCCTTTGGGCTTATTTAACATTTGTGGGAAATTCAGTCATGTTTTTGTAACACTAGCACTACATTTACGTAGCTCAACAACTATACCATTTCTTAAGTGAGACATTAGGTAGTCTCTACAAGCTGACTACAAAACTGAGTGTCTTCTTCCCATCAAACACTCAGGCTATGTAAACACAACTGAGCTGCACCTTGAGTATGATGCTCCTTATGCTTGGCATATTTGCTCTCGAGTACTTCTGTCCTGTGCCACCAGCAAATTCTTTTTTGGGTAATTCAGGTGTAAGTAACATAGCTCCCTGATACAGTGCATATTGTCCAGGCCTTCCATGCGTGGACCTGTACAACTTTTGTACCAACATCTTGAGTTTTGTTGCCAATGTCTCCTCTAGACTTCCAAAGTCTCCAACAGATCTTGAAATTACCCAGAGCTGTCAACACTGAGGATCACACAAGTTAAGTAACTACACTGTTTTTAATCTATTTGATTAAACTGCTGAAAACTTCCTACTTAAGGCTTCTTAAGTAAATACAGGCACTAAAGAGAAAGTAAGTGGAGATGTTAAGTGCCTCATAAGGCTTACTAAGATCAAGCCGATAGTTTTAGCAAGGCTGATGCGACATAAGACTACTAATCTTAGAAACTCCTGGTGATCTTAGAAGCCTAAAAAGTAGGCATTTTTTTCTTCCAAGGTTTTAAATGTCAGACTGTATTGTTTCCTGTCAGTCTTAAGACATGAATACACTTATATAGCCTATGTACACACAAGATTCCATAGACACATCCAGTGACAACAGACTGGAGCACATCCAAGGAACAGGGGCTGGCCAGGCTGTAACATACCGTTCTTACTCTGTTCATTTCCCCTGACATAAACCAGGATTAAAAAAAACATAAGAGTACTTCTTCTGGGAGAATCATGAGACACTTTCCCAAACAAAGTAATATATGTACTACAATGTTTAAAAAAATAGCATTATTAAAAGGCTGCCTCACAAAAGATGTCCAAAAGCAAGCAGTAATGCAGGGGCAACTTATAACAGTAGAAATCCTTACCAAAAAGCAAAGTTTTGCCAGAGCATCCAAGTCATTACTGCAAAGACTGAAATATTTACACCTCTTTCGTCACAAATGAAAAGCCTCACAAACATTAATACCTCCCCAGAAACAATTTACAAACCCAACTTTCAAACAGACAGTGGTGAAATGATTTGTTTCGTGCCAGGGATAAAATAAAGATATTTTAAGTTTCAGGCCATTGCTCTTGCCCATACAGAAAGACATGGCATAAGGAACACAAACGCCAGAGTAGGGGAAGCAGAACACCAAAGAGAGAAGCAAGTGGGGAATCAAGAAAAAAAACTCACGTGAGTGAAGACCAGAGAAGGAAAGCATGGGTTCTAGTAAGGTTCTCCTTTTAATGAAACACAGGACAAGGTGTGGTATTTTTTTAAATTGGTAGAAAACCCCATCTCACAGAGACGTGGTAGCAAGCCTAGTGCTGGCTCTTTATTCTTGCGGCATTCTTTTACTAACACCATTGCCATAAATGTGCAATTTTTTCCGCTTTTAATCACTTTTTGGCTTAACACCACTGGTTCATTTTTGTCTTCTTGAGCCTTTAGTGTAATAGTGGAATGAAGGAACACTCTATTAAGCTTCATGGCATTACATATGGCCTTTATATTTACTCTACCAGCAACATTCATCGGATAATAAAAATCTAAACAACTCTTGTGTCAGAGAGCAGGAGCCAAATAACATCTGATGCAGGTATGAGAACTTTATCTAGATGGAAACATCTGTTTTCTAACACCAACGCAGGTCACTCCTGGGTTTCAGTCCAGTGCTTCTGAAAAGAAAAATGCTACTTGTTCATCAGGGACACTTCCTAAAGCACACAAATTCTCCACGAACAAGTCTCCTACACAAGTAGTGCCACAGCTCTCGCCCGAGGTCCAAGTCAGCCAATCTCTGCACGGCAGACTGAGAATTTCACATTCAAGGTCAGTAAGTTGCTCGCTCCTTCAGCCACTGCGCTCGCACAATTTCAGCTCAGAAACCCGCATTTTGACCCTTTTCCCCACCGAGCTCGCCGTCCGGGAACAACGCAAGGGGGGAAGAGGCGAGCCTGCCTCCCCTGCCGCCTCGCCTGCGGACGCCGAGGCGGGGCAGCCCTGGCGTTTACACCGCCGGCTGGCACCGCGCAACCCCGGCCCACGCACAACCCGCACACGCCGGAGCCCCGCTGCCGTCTGGGGCCGCCCCCCGCCGCGGCCGCACACCCCCCCGCCCCGTCCCCGGGCTGCCCAGGCCGCACGCCGGGGCGGGCCCCGCTGCCCCAGGGCTGGGCGAGGAGACGCGGCCTAGGCCCCGGCCGCCGCTCCCCCGGCCCGGCCCGGCCCTCGCCGCTCCCGCAGCGGCGGTGGGGGGGGCGCGGTACGTGGGGCGGCCCCGCCACTCACCGAAGTCGAGGAACTGCTTGATGGAGAGGGGCGAGGGGGAGAAGCGGGAGTAGTACTCGATCTGCTTGGGGATGGGGCTCTTCAGCAGCGCCCCGCACAGCCGCATGGCGCGGCGCGGCCCGCCCGGCTCCCCGGCAGCGGCACTAGGGCGCTGGGGCGGCGGCGGCGGCGCAGCCACCCGCGCTCATGCCAGGGGAGCGGCCGGCCCGGCCCGGCCCGGCCCGGCCCGTGGGAGGGGAGGGGAGGGGGGCGGTGCGCCCCAACGCGCAGGCGTACGGTCGCGAGGGGCGGGGCGGGCCCCGCGGGTGGGGCGGAGGGGAAGGCGGAGGGGTTGGTTTGTCTCGCGTCACCGCACCGTTCGAACCCCCGCGGCGTCCGTTCAGCGGGGGGCCGGCGCGTGGGAGGGGCCAGTTCACCTGCCCCCCCCCCCCGCCCCCGCCGTGGGCGGCCTGCGGGACCGCGGGTGCGCGCGCCGTGGGCTTCGAGGCGGAGCCCCGCCGGCGCGGCGTGTCGGTGTTCGGCGGGTGGTGCACCTCGTGCGGGGCCGGCGGAAGAAAAGGGGTCACGTTCCTTTTTGGGTGACAAAGCAGGTTTCGAGCGACGGCGAGAGCAGGGCTTAAAGGGGGGAGGTTGCACCGCATCCTGACGCGGGCCCGCCGGTGGGGCCCTCCCGGAGCTCCGCCTCCCTGGGAAGGCGGCCCCCGTCCGGTGCCCACCAAGTTTCGACTCTTGATAATACTTCCCATTTCCTGAAAGGTCCATTTTTACCTGAGAAACCACCTGCATACAATTAAAATTAATTTTGACTGCTAAAATCAAAAGTGAAGCCGAGTATGTGAGAGCGAAAATGGAAGACTGGATGAAATCACTTGGTTTTTTTCCCCACTTTGCTGTGATGTGGCTTAGGTACATTTATGACAAACACATACGATGACAAATAACTGGTCACAAATTCCTTTACTTTTTTCTCCAGTGAATCCAATATATATTTCAGCACATACAAGGTAATCTAATTTTATAACTGACAAAAGAAACAGGTGCTGTTCAGTTACTGAAAGTCTCTCTCCATCCTTCCTATCGTGATTGTCCATAAAGATTTTGAGATTGAGAAATCCTGACCTAATGTACAAAATAACTTCTAATAGCTGGAAAACGTTTTAAAATCACTTCAATTGCAGGTTATAGAAATGACCGCCTTGAAGAGGCTTGTCATGTAATCAAGGCTGACAAAACGAAACATGTCCTCTAGTTCTGAAGCTTTTTTGGCAGACGAGGAAAAGTGTTTTATAACTTCTGTTACATACTCTTCAGGATTTCATTTTGATTTATCTATAGCATAACTCTGAAATGAGCTGCGGAATTATCTGCCAGAAAATAATATTTTTTGTTAAAGACGGAACAATGTTTCCCCAAATTAAGATGAAATTAGCAACTTCAAAGGATCATACATAGTCAAAATTTAAGCCACTTGATTTTATGCACCTTTCACAATTTTAAGTAATCCTAGTGTGATTTCACTTCAGCCTCATAAAATAGCAAGACAACTGTTAATTACTGACTTGTCTTTCTAAACACAAAACCTTATTTTGCAATATAGACAGTGTCACAGCATCGCTTTGTTGGGAATTTTTTAAGCCTATGTTAAACAGCCCGTGTGAAAATTGGAATTGTTTTTGTCTTTGCTGATACGGATTAAAACCACAATGAAGACATGGGCAAAGACACTGGAAAACAGAGGTGTGCTGTCCTCATCAGATGGACTCTCGGTAGCTTCTCTCAACACTGGGGAAACTCATAACAAATTGATTAAATTATCTGAAAGCTGTTCATACACTTAAGACAAATATGAATCCCAGACTTGCCCAACAACTCTGCCTGACCTTGTGCCTAAGACCACAAGACTTGCTTGAGAGAAGATAAAATGCACATAGGCAAATCTAAGGGTTTTTTACCAATGCAAGACAGCAACAAGCAGACATGTGAACCTAGTTCTTAAACAATCTGCCTAAATAAACAGAAGTTGGTGGCATAAACCATGCTAAATAGAAAATACCCCTGGGATCAATACACTTAAAGTATCAGTTGAGTTTTGCTAAGAGCAGGTTTTTTTGATCATTTGGATTTATTGTACCTCATACCTGCCTCCTTTATGTATTTCAGCACACATCTGGTGCAGAAATGCTTCCCACAGCTCATTCTTCAAGTGCCTCCCTGAATTTTCATTTACATAATAAAGAGCCTCTACAGGTGTTCACAGAAGAAAGGACTTGCCTCTTAGGAAAAATTTGTTAACATTGATAACACAGCTAACGCTGCTGAATTTCTTGGGTGCTTAGGATCTCCCTTTTATCAAGGGCGCTATTTTCATATTTTCCAGTTAAACTCAAAGCTGGAATAACTAGAAGTAGGCTAGGCATCAAAGATGCCCCAGTTTTACACTGCCCTTTAGTAGCCAGAACATCTTAGTCCCCATCCAGTTAAAAAATGTTGGGCGTGCAGGCAATATGAAACCTCAGCACCTGTAAGTGAATCAGGGTCTCAGTGTGGACACTTGCCAGAACGGGACAATGAGGATGAGAAGGTGGTAGTGTTCTGGCCCCAAGGGCACCACCGTGCCCCTCTGCCCCTGTCCACCCCACCCTGGGGAGCCCCAGCCTTCGCAGCACCCGGACACATCCAATAAATTTTCGTTGGGTCATCACTGTGACAAAGGAGATGGATAATTTAATCTGAGTAACCAATCTGGCCTTAATTGTTTTTCTTGGTTTTCTGCATTGGTGTAAAATCAATGCTTCTGACTCATAAACCACAGAAACTTTGAGAGGGAAAAGTAGCCATAACAGGTTTTGCTTCAGGGCGATTCCTTAAAACAGGGGATCTGATGTAGAACATATTTACGTAACCAAAAGCTTTTTGATGTTTCCTACCCTCAGAAATTTTAAGTGCTGACTGCTTCCCACTAAATTCAGTGCCCGTATTTAAAAACTGGCCTCCCCTAGTTTTGTGTTCTGGCTATGACATATGGTGTATGGCTCTGGTGTACCCTAATGGCAGTGTGTTTGTGGAAGATCCTTTGCTGCTCTACGTATGGGAGTAGTCTTTATACATTCATTCAATGGAGCCACAGGGATAAATAAGGAACAATTATATGACTAGTAGTCAGAAAATTGTTACTGGAAAATAAAGTTCTCCCTGAGTTTGAGTTTTCTTAGCACTTGGTTAGTTAGAGATTCACTCCTATAAAAATTTGTAGCAAAACTTTGTCTGGACAATATACAAGACACATTTTTGTCAGATTTTCATATCTTGTTCTTTCCAGACCTTTATACTACATTCACTCCTGTTTGCAGGGATCAAAGCTTTTGCATTTAATGTTTCATCCAATTAAGATTTATTCACAGCGAAAATTTCAGATCATTAAAACACCAGAGCCATAATCTCCTTAACAAAGCTTGGTTTTCTTCACTGCAGAATACTCGGGAGGTCTATAAACTAGCTGCAGGGGATTCAGCGTAATGAACTTCTTTGTATGGATGTCAGAGGAGGGGAAAAGGAATGTTAAACTGTAAACCAAGAAAACATGGTTATTAGTGTTTTCTAGACATATTGACATTGTGGAATTCATAGTATTTTTTTTTAACCAAAAAACCCCCTATATTGAAGTTATTGTAACCCCTATATCTTAAAGTTCAGAAGCACTCATTGAGAATGGGTATAATACAATTGAAACACTAACAATAACAGGAACCAATAACAGTTATTTGGGGAAAATTCACACAGAGAATTATAGTCCCAAAGCACATTTTACAAGATGACAGAAAAAAACAGCACAGAACAGGAAAAACTAGTATAGGGTAATGTGATGTTTCATACAAATTCCTTCTGTTCACAGTACTAATTTTTCTCAATAACACCACTGTATTTTCCCTCCTGCCGTTATATGCTTTCAAGGATAGATTCAAGTAGTGGATCATGTAAAGCCACACTGGGAACAGATGGAGTTAGAAGGGGGTAAGGTTTCTTAATGAAGCTTTCCTAAAACTTTAAAAAAGATCTGTTTTTATTTTTAATAATTTATCTCTTCCTAGTATTTATACACTCAGATGGGTAAGTTTGGTGGAACTGTTAGCCATAATGGTCAGAAGATTGATAGTACTCAAAGGCATGAGTTTAAAGTAAGTAAGGTCATTACATTTGGACACACATATGTAGTATTAGATTCCATTACTATCATAGTTTATATTTTCATCCATTCTTGTCTATTACTCAAGAAAACAAAGTTTCTTTACAAAGTTTTTTTGTCAGCAAAACTGGTAGTCACTGCATTTAATGTTCCTCTTCCTAGTCAGCTGACCAGCAAAGTTCAGCAGTTCCTAAAGGAACCACCAGGAACTATCAAAAAATATGTTCAGCAAATCTAAGAGTTAGGAAGTTAAATAAATTATTGACTCTAAAATACCATGGCTTACCAGTATTTATAATTAGCTGGCTCAGATGTGTTAGTGTTTTTTAGAGTAGGCACTCCACAAATCCTTCAATTACATAGCTATCCTCAGTAATTTGCTTTAGAGTAAGTATACTTACTGCCACGGTACTTTGTCCTACCTGTGCCATAAGAGCAACCATTGAACAAGTGAGTTAGAGCTATGACTGGGTGGCACAGAACCATACCACATCAATCCCTTCCCTGAAAGACTATGTCCTGGTGCTCCTCTTACCGTTCAAATGTACAAAGAAACCACAGCCAGGTCCTAACTCGCATTTAAAATGTGCAAAACTGAATCTAACCAGCAGTCAGCACACTTATGCCAAGGATTTACATTTAATCTTCTCTGCCAGAAACAGCTTGCAAGAACACCAGCTGAGGAAGAGTCCTGAGAAATACATAAGAAATACATCTTTGGGTTTTGTGCTAGAACCTTTAAAATGGGATTTTCAACCTACGAGGAGGAGGAGGAGGAGGACAGCACTAGCTTAGCGTATAACAGGAGGGGAGTGCCCCTGAAGGAAATTCCATCTCTTGATTTTTTGTTTTCCCTTCCCTTGCTAGGGAGTATCCTAGGGGAAAATTCAAAACTTTATTTCAGTTTGAGTTGCTATAACCACACCCTGGCATACCTTTATCTTTGGGGAAAATCATCTCGGCACCTTTTTGTTTGCAGAAATTGAAGCCTGCAGGGGCCTTGCAAGAAAAAGCTGAAAAGGAGTTAGATCTTGTTATGTGGAATTTACCATGCATCAG